TCCTCCTCCTCCTCCTCCTCCTCCTGACCATCTTACCACTCCATTTCTTTCTCTTTCTCTCTCTCTCTCTCTCTCTGTCCACTCTTCTCCCTTTCTTCCTTACTTCCTTCTCTTCTCGCTTCTTCGCGTTTACCTGATCCTTCTCTCAGGCCACGGCATCTTTCCTTCATCCTTTTTTTCCCTTTTATCCGTCGCTCTCCTTTCCGCGAATGTTCTTCGAATCTTCTTTCTCGCTTGCACCGTTGTTCGCGCCGACAGCATACACACACACACACAAACCTACCTGTATACATGTGTGCACGCGCCCTCTGTTCGACTCACGAGACATAACCTTATCGCGAGGCTCGTTTTGTGACGGAGGCGTGTACCGAGGCAACGCGTTGCTTTCTATCGATTAAAGGGCTTCTTCGATGCTATTGTTCGATGGTTTTAAGGATCGATACCAACAGATTTTTGTTTTCCTGCGGGCTTCGACGAGCTACCGTCGATCTTCCTCCTGGGAAAAATGCTAGACTCACGAACAGATTAACATTGTTTACAGTTTACGCTACGTCGGCTGCAACTCGGACGCCGAAGTCCGCGCGTGACTTTTGTCGTGTTTGATAAATATCTGTGTTTATTGTATTGGAAGATAGTTCGACGGAATTTATGTATATGAATGATTTTTCTAGACGTTAACTGATTTCTTCCAACTGTACCTTCACGTTTGATTCTTTTGAAAATTTCACCTACGATACAGTCCAAACATGCCACGTATGAGAAAAAAAAAAAACATAATGGTCGTCCGCGTGCCGGTCATAATTAGCCGTAAACAAGTGGTCTCTATAAATTATATCACGGTGGACTGGTTAAGCTTATTACGAGGGTCGACCATAGACTACTGAAAAGCTGTCAGGATTATTATAGGGTCCCGTGAAAAATCGACCATCTCATGAATGTGTCAATTCGTAACCCGACGTCTACGTAAGTATAGTTATTCGCCATTCTTTTTTATCCTCCTTTCGTGGACGACAATTATGTAGGTATATATATATATTTTTTTTTTTTTTTGGAAGATGCCATGAAACCAAATTTTCTTTATCTTCTTAATCTTGCAATTAGTCTCAACGATTAGAAGATAAAATAGAACGTCGAACTTTTTAAATTGATTTCTCTGGAATAATAAGACAATTATCTCTTTAACTAAATCTACAAATCAACAATCATATAGGAAATACAAGTAGGTAAATTTATCAATCGATTAATTGACTCTATCGAGTTTAATTGTTTGGTTTCTGATAAGTCAATTCAAAAAAAGCTAATCATATACCTATATTCTGATAATTAAAAAGTTAAGAGATTTTTTTGAAAATGGAAATCGTTCAATCGATATCAAAATGCAGTTTCGGAGGATTTCTTTATTATTGTGTTGTAAATCTTACGACTAACAATAAATAGGTACATATATGTAGGTACGTAGAATTTCATAATCACGAAAATCTCCGAGTGTTGAATTTTTTTGCACGGTTTATTCGCAACTTGACCAGCAGTAAATCGTGTTGCGCCAACTTTCAAGAGGTAATAAAATGCTATAATACATAATAACTGTATGAAAATCAATTAACCAAAAATTGATTCTTCTTCCCAAATTAGTTCCTAATTATATCTCCAAGTATTTCGTGATCTATTTTGAATGAAAGGATAAACAATGTTTTCAAGAATAACAAATCTGCTCTTTTATGTAAGTAGGTGTGTTTCATGTACAAAGAAAAAAAGATATAGATATGGAAGATGTAATATTTCATCTGTAATTTACAGATATCTACCTATAATTAAAAAGAATGTGACCTGGGTTGATGATTGATTTAGTTAGTACATATAATAACAAGTATTAAATAAAAATATTCCTATGTTTTATATACTTTTGTATATCATAAGTTTTTAAATTCACCATAAATGCATAAAAATTTATAATCTAGTGATAACCGAGCAGAAAAGAATTCCTTTCCAATTCGTAATTACAGTGACAAGTGTATGTACATGATACTTGCAGTTTGAAATACCTACTTAATAGAAATAAAATGTTCTATCCGCGTTTGGCGCGTAGTGCGTCTTGCAAAATTGCGAAGTCAGTTCCGCGAACAAAGAAATACGATTAGTTTTTCTTGTCGGTTGACGTGGTGATTGTACCTGTGACGAAAAAAATATATGTCACAGGTATGACAGGCTATTCGTTCCTACGCAATGCCGCGCTATTGTTCTGCGGTTGGCTCGTCTGACCCGACAAGACGATAAATGGGAAAATGAACGTGGCCTACGAGTTACGATCTTCCGTCTACGGTAATTATTATTGATTTTCCAGCGAATCGCCATGGTTTATATAGCTATTGCAATCAAATGAGAGGAAATTACGAACTGATATTTGAAATAAAATATAAAAAGATTTAAGAAAAATTTAGTACATTCTTTTTTTTTTGTAACTATTTTTCTATTATAAAACATAATTTTCATTGTATTAGATACAATTATCTCAAAATAAATAATATAGTTTATTCATGTTATCACGTTATTATTCGATTCAAAGTTTTGAACTCCTTAATAAATAAGCGTATTCACCGCGTCTGACTATATACCGGACAATTCTACTTTATTCATTCTAGTTTGAAATAGTAATGTACATAACATATATCACTACTAATAGAAAAGAAGTTCAATGTACCCAATATTAAAAAATTGTTTACATATATATACGCATTTATCATTTTTACTAAAAAAAAATTGTTTTTTATTAAGCTGGTATACAAAAGTGAAGTGAGAAAAGACATAAGTAACAATAACGTATTATATTTTTTTTTCTTTTAACAAAATATTTGACTTATATTTAGAGTATATATTTCTAGATATTAAATAACAAAACACTTATAATATAATAAAATAGATATAACTTTCAGTAGCATTGTACTAGCGTTTTTGTACTATACATAAGCGGCAATATTTTTGTTTCATACAAAAATCGAATGGATCTAAGATCTATTCTTGGAAAGTTCTGAATAATCATATATTATTAATTAGTGGTCATTTTGGGCAGTATCCTATCCATCTTCTGTATGTAACATTCATTGTTTCTTCTACTAGATTATCTATTGGGTGTATTATGAAAGGTATAGATGCTAAACCAATAATAGTTGGAATCCATCTATTTTTTAAGAACGCATTATTTCTTTTTTGTATAAATTGAACAGCAGCACAAATTCTATTAATTGTGAGACCAGGCACAATCACAGATGCAAACGATTGCCATAGTAAGGTATCTGACATAGAAAGTGCAATATTTTTTGTTGCTTTTGGAGCTACATTATTCTGAAACATACAATTTATACTTGTAATAATCTTCTGATTAATATATATAATATATTTAAACAATATTTTCTTTATCTTTCACTTGCTTGATAAGCTTTAAGGCCATTATTAATTGTGTCTGCAAAAACATATCCACTGGATATAGCATAACTAAACCATACAATTGAATTTGGAACTATAGATCTAAAAGCTTCTCCAATTTCATTTGCATATCCTAAAATAAAATTAAAAATATCATGCATAATATATAATACATATTATTAGTGGGAAAAATATACTAAAAAACTATTTAAAAAAATGAACTAAATTACTTTTTATTACCTAAATATCTAATAGGTGTATCACGATATAGATCCACTTCTTTTTTTATATCCATAATAGAAATCTTATTTTTTAAACTTCTATGTTACTAAACATAACCTATTTTTGTGCGTTTAACGCGTTACTCAATATATTAAATGACACATTGGCGTAGTATCGTTTTCTCCAATATAAATTGTACAATTTACAAATAATTAAGTGCGCTCCTGTAAAATTATTTAGAATGAATAAATATTTTACAGCGGTTACTGTAACTTAATTTTTTAAAATTAATTATGAAAAATTATAGTCCTTCAAAGATATTTAAGGAATCTATGATCAAAATTTGGAACCTAGGGAATTTTATTTTATGGTAATCCTGTTGAAATATCAACAATTGCACGCGGTAAAAGATTCAAAAACTGTGAAAACAAAGTATAAAAAATAAATTATATACAATTTAATTCGCTCATGTAACAAGAGAAATAAATTTATAAAAATCACAAGACTATCTAAGAATTAATTTCTAGTAATATTTCTACTATATAAATCTTTATATAATGTAATATAAGGTCATTATAGGTTTCATTGTTAAGTAAAGCTTAAATTGAATAAAAGACAATAATGAACAACATGTAAAATAACTAATACATACTTAAAACAATTGTAACAAAGTTAATAGACGTTAATTACGTAATTGAATGTTACTAGATATATTGAAATAAGTAACGAAATATCCGGAATATATTTAGAGAGAAAAGGAGAATTTGATAAATAGTAAAAGTTTGGATAACAGAATATAGAAACGTTACAATAGTGAATTTGTATTAAAGTACGCAAGTATGGCGTCCAATCCTATTATTTCGTTTGTGTATAACATAACCTTCCAAAGCCCTTTAAATAAAAAAAATGTTATTTCAAATTTTAACAGAATAGCTTGTTCTTCCAGAAATATGACAGGACCGTAATATATTCGTAAGTGAAAATAGTTCGTATATTACCATTCAAAATGATAAATCTCAATTTAATTAGAGAATACTTTAGAATGCAAGTTAATGAAATAATTTGTTGGTGGTGGTTTTACATCAGTGAAATTTCATGGCAATTGCTGATAGCTGTTACCGCGTATTTTTGCGTTTGTATTTTTCTTTATTCTATCTTGAGGAAGGTTAGCCACATAGCGTGGCAGCTTCCAGGTCCACCTGCCAGAATACTATTAGTTACAGCTCATCCTGATGATGAGGTCATGTTTTTTGGCCCATTGGTGTATTGGGTTACAAGATCAAAGACTAGTGAGATTTACCTTCTCTGTCTTAGTAATGGTATGTTTATTAATCTCATCTGAAAATAAAACATTCTGAAAGTTAGAATATCACTATATACCATTACTACATACCATTATAGGTGGAGATAGAAAGAGGAAAGAAGAATTATGGGAATGTATAAAACTCTTAGGAATTCCAGAAGATAATGTAACTATAGTAATGTAAGAAATTACATGTATTTATCTAATTTACATAATAACTTGATGGTTATTTGAATGCATTTAAATATTACTCTTTTAATCTTCTATCTTAGTTCAATAAATACATGTATAGGAGTACAGAGTTACCTGATGATCAAAATGTACAATGGCCAACAGAGATAGTGGCAGAGTGTATTTTACAACATATAGAAAGTTATAAAATCAATGCAGTTGTAACATTTGATAAACATGGCATAAGCAAGCATAAAAACCACATTTCTTTATATTTTGCCATAGCTGCATTATGCATAGAAAAAAAAGTACCATATTGTTAGTATCATTTATTAAAATATTAGATTTTTTAATATAAAATTTAAATTTAAATTAACTCAATCTCTTTTCAGATTGTAAACTATATGTTTTAGAGTCTGTGAATATAATTAGAAAATATGTACAAGTTTTAGATTTGCCAATTAGTTTATTATCTGCATCATACTGGTATTTAATAACATATGATCAAAAAAAGATGATAAAAGTAAGTGTTAATATAACTTAAAAAAAAAAAAATTTATTTTATAAATGAATTACCTTTACAGAAAGCTATGACTGCACACAAGTCTCAGTATGTTTGGTTTCGAAAATTGTACATGATTTTTTCACGATATACATTCATTAATACTTTTCAAGAAATGAGTGCTCTTGACCTTGAATTGGATCTCCAGTTTGATGATGAATAATTCATATTATACTATTATACTTTCATAATTTATACTATTGTACAAATTGTAATTAATTGTACATATTAAAGAATTAAATTTGTCTATTAATATATAATAAAACCATTATAACATTCTCAAAGAAACTTTTAAGATATTTTTAAACATTTAAACGTACGAATTAAATAGAAAGTATTTTTTATTCAATCATAGAAATATACAAATGTTTAAAAATAAAAATATATTTTAAAGAAAATAATAAACTCATTTTTTATTGTACATACATAATTCGTGCATTAGATTCTCTTATATAATTATTATTATATATTATTCTATTACAAATTTGTGTAAATGTACGATCTTTAATTTGATATGTTCTTATTGCATATGTGTAATACAAGATTTATTTTCATCTTATTGTGCATATAACAAAATCTCAAATTACTATTTGAGCAAGTACAAAATTATTGCAAGTTAAACTTGTATTCTACATATATCCATTTTTTAAATCTGTCCCTTAGTGATAACGTACAATATACATGACAATTTTTCATGATTTAAATCACATTAAATTTGGCACAGTTAAGATTTGTGCATAAACTATAATTTGAATTGCTTTTCTATTGTCTTTTTAACATTTCACAATATAATTTGATCTTTTATATAATAGATCTGTGATATAAGACAACTATGCTGGAAGAAATTACAATTATTAAATTATAGATTCTATAGATATTTTTTCATTTGCTAACTACAATTAAAAAATTTAAAAAATAATTATTTGATTTTCCTTTCCTCCAGCACAATTAAAGCACTTCACTAATAATACATCATGTCAATAATTCTTTAATTTATCCTAAAGAGGTACCAAAAAGTTGCACTTTTGTATAAAAAAAATTTCTGTCAATCATGATATCAAATAGAATATAAAATACAATCTATGTTCATAAACAGTCTTACATGATATAAAGATGATATTAAACAAACTTGTAATATCAAACAATATATTAATGAATAGTAGAAATTCATAGATGAATCATATTTATATATATATGTAAATATTTATGTAGCAAATAATTTAGAAAGTATATTCTTTATGTTATTACTTATATTACTTGTATCTTGCACATATGTACTATTCAATTTCGCTCCAAATAAAAAATACTTTATCAACGAATATGTAAATACTTTATCAACGAATATGGAAATATGGAATGTTTTCAAATGTTTTATGCTTCATACAGAACTTCGATAAACAATTGAATGAACAATGTTATGAAAGATAATATCTTATGTCTAATCATTAATGAACTCATAACTTTAAAACAAAATAAATGCTTACAAGACAGTCGCAGAAAATGGACGGCATAAAGTGTTCCCGCAAGATCCTCAATCAGTAAGCTACTATAATATTAATCGATTAGTAGAATACTGAGTTTAGATACATAGAAGAGAATAACATATCGTCATAAATTTTTGTAGAGTAAATATCTCCAATATTTCATGAACAAAAATGCATAGAGTTATAGAGGATTCATCGCGAAGATCTCGCGGGCCGTATCCTAGAATCTATCCTTAGCACGATGGTGCGAACTCAGAGTTCCCATTCCCGGTTGAGGAGAATCTGGATCTCCTGGATCTTGAAGATATTGAAGTTCTTGCAGTTCTTGAAATTTCTCATGGTCTCTAATGTGTGCGTAATTAGCAGATAAACACATTAAATAATGTATGAGACTCAATACAACCAACATGGCAGCTGCAGTTGCTAAAATAAACATGATCTCTGCTTTTTCAACAAAATCCTTGCAAAACAATTTCACTTCTTGTGGTCCACATATTTTCATATCATCCACCCTTGTATTGTTTGGGAATATAAAGCCTTTAAGAAATATATAATATACGAAATTTCATTTTTTTTAAATGATTAATGAATTAAAAAATATATTTAAAATGTATATTATATATATTATACTTACTAAACTGAGTAAAATCAATGCATTGATCGAGAGATTGAACACGAGGATTGCTACATAAACCCCAGAATATAGTAAAAACCCAAGCAATTATAATCAAGAATGCAAATATTAGAAGCCAGCCTAATTGTAGTATATAAGTAATTGTCATGAACTAAAAAGTATAAAACTTTTTTTGTTATTTCATATTGTAACGTGATAATCAATAATATTTATTACAATTACATACAACAGCACAAGAGATACGTCCACCAACTCTAGATCTCCAGGCTCTATATACTTTATGTCTTGTAGCTCCAGTTGCAAGACAACCAACACATAATATCATAAAACCTAAAGCTCCCATACTAGCACCAATTATTGCAAAAGTTAATTGAACAGGCTCCAACCATCCAAGTCTTAAATGAAATACCTTCAATATATAATTATTAGAGTTACATATAAATATATAATGTATAAAATCATTAAAATAGGATAGATATATAATGTATGAAATCATTAAAATAGGATTAGAACAACAACTTACTTGATCCATCATCAAAGAACTTAACGTAACACCTCTATACATTGTACCGCAAAATATACCTACTCCTAAGCAACACATTATTGTTGCAATAAGAGTTGCATACGGCACTCTGGCCATGCAATCGTTACACATACTCGCTACAAACAATAAAAAGATAGTTTATTAATGATTTGGTATATAAATAAATAATATTGTATCAAGAGTTGCGATACAGAGTATTACTGACTTTTTAATTTTATATAGTAACACATAAATTTATGTTAAAAAAAAACTTACTACAAGATCGAGTTTCATCAAGCCCATGAAGACTTTTTTCGGAAAATCTATCTATACTAATATTACTATCAAATCGTCTACGTAACGGTATACTATCGCTTGTACCCTGATGGTTTCTCATGTTTAATTATAAACAACTTCAACATGCGTTTGAATGAAACGTTAAGCGATGATTAAAACTTAAAACGATGAATGAGTAATCTTTTCATGTATGACAGATAAGATTACGATAGATATCGAACGCGATCACCCGCGATATTGAATCGGTTATAACCAAATTGCTAGAAAAGATTTTTATTCAAAGAAGCGAGCCAAGTTCTTTTTTTTACATGCGTACATAAATCAACGTTATAAATTGTAGTAAATTTTTATTTACCCATCCTTCGATTTTAATTCAAGGTTAAGTCCGTTTCAGATGGGCACTGCCCGTTGTTGATTCCGAGACTACAATGCTAGAATTCTCTCAATTAATGTCGTAATTGAATATCATTCTACTGTATTAGTGAATAACATCCCACACACTTCTCGTAATTACACATCCGCACGTTACACCACTTGTTAATAGAGATTCTACGAGTTATGACAGACTGCTATTAATTGTCTCTTAAAATATTTTATTTATGTGATTTGGCAGAATGAACAAAGATATGTTAATATTGTACGACAATTGTTGCGCTTTGAGTCAAATATATATATTTTCAAATAATATCGTGTTTTTGAATTCTTTAAAGCGAACCAATATGGCGACGAAAGGTAAAAGTGAATGGGATCGTTGTCCTCTCGGGGACTCGTTCTCATTTACTGCAATCAATTACTATTCTAGTAACGGATTAGAATTGTAGGCTTTATTGATTTAAATAGTTTTATTTTAAATTTTCTATACAGTAACAGATATTCGGTTTTTTTATTACAGTCTTACATATTAAAATAAAACGGACATTCGGTTTTTTTATTACAGAGTCTTACATATTAAAATTCAGATATAAATTTATAAAAAAAAAAAAGAAATATTACAATGTAACTATCTTTTTATACTTGAAAAACCATTTACTTAAGAAATATTGTATATGCTAGGTAAATATATAAAAATATAATTTTGTTCTCATAAAATACTCTTTTTACAAAATGAGTTAAATAAAGTATTGTTATTTTCTTTAAAAACAGTGCACATATTGGTGTTGATTATTTTTAAAATTTTATCTTAAAAATAGAAAAATACATTAAGAATTCTATTCATTAATAAAATTTTTCTTAATGTAAAAAAATTATATATTAAAAAATATACTTCGTCACTATTTTTAACTATTGTCAATATCTGCACTAATTTCAGAAGAAATAGTTTGGAACATTTTATTTAACCCACTGTCTATACTTTTATACGAAATATTTGAATATTTAAATATATATAATTAAAAACTACCGAATGTTTTTGTGCTTCGGTTGAAGAAAATATTTCATAATTTCAGACAAGTGACCAATTTTTTCTTTAACAATATGTGGTAAATCCACGTTTTGTTGATAATGATGATTATATTTTGTAACAATACCATTATTACTTTCATAGATTATACCACCGCCTTTAGGAATTACCTAAGAAATAGTAAATTTGATCAAATTATGCTTTCTTATTCTAATAAATTAATTTTTTTAATGCAATTATCTAAATTAGCAAAAATCTACTTACAGTTAAAGTAGAACCATCTTTGTAATTGACATGTATCTCTCCAGAAGATAATTGTGTCGCAGTACCTATACCTGGTACTGCTATTTTACAAAAACTATTACTAATATTTCGTATAGAATTTGTTTTTCGTGATCGCGATGCCACAGTAGACGTAACAGAACTAGCATCAAAGGATGGCATCTGAAATATTAATAAGCATATGTATATCATACTTGGTAAAAAAAAATATATATATATTTGATTATTTACTATGGGCATATTGTTCGTTGCCTGCGAAATATTTTCTTTTCCTTGTACACAAGCAGAATCATTTAAGGCTGTATTAGGCCTACGTCCAATAATAATGGGAAAGCAAGAATATCCTGTAGCTGTTTCTAAAGATGTTAAAGTAGATTCTAACAACAAACAACGTTGATAACACTCTGAATAATGTTCATAATAATTATCTAAATGGGACGGAAATTCGCCCTCGACGTAAGTAGAACCGTCATTTCTTTCTATTATTTTAACAATACCATCAACACGTTCAATCTACAACAATAAAAATGTTAATTTCTTCAATATTTGTTTATAATTTATCATATTTATTTTTGTACCTTTACTCCATCATAAAAATGAACTTCACAATTTGGATGTGGTCCATTTTCCATAAAAAGACACTTGGATCGTTGAGTATACACCGTTAATTTTGGAGTTTTCATTTTCACAAGTTTTATAAAACGAGAAGCATATATATATTTTTTATGGTGACGAGGAGGTAAATTTTCATATGAGTAAATGCTATCTGCTCCACGAGTTGGTAACGGAAGTGGTTGATTGCTAACGTCGGTTGAAGATGTTGGTTTATAAAGAATAATTCTTAAACCATCATTTGATATTCGACATACTTCATTAATTTTTTCCTATAGTAAAATTTTAATTTAAAATTTATTTAAAAATTAATTTTAATCATACGTACCACTCCATTCCTACGTTTGATCAATTCGACGCAAACTTCTCCATTATCTAGAATAGTAAAAATTGCAGTTTTTGTTTTATGTCTTGTTGGTTGCAATCTTTTAGAAGACAAAGGCGAAACTTGTAGTTTTCCTCCATTTTCTGTATTCTCAAAGCAACTTTCAGTTTTTTCTTTTTTTCTATGCTTGTCAGTCTTGTGTTTGTTAACATCTTGATGCATATTGCAACTGTGCTCACATTGTGAAAAAACTTTGCTTTGTGATGTCAATGGTCCAGTTAATACAGAACTTTGTTTAGTATGATAATCTATGCCATTTGTTTTACGTGAATACGTTCTTATAATAGGCTCGGATGAAGGATCGCTTTTTGTACTAAACATAGGTCCAAGAACATTAGACATAATAGGCGTTGATGGCATTCTTTCTTCCGATCTACAACGCATTCTTGGTTTTCCATATGAAGATAATGTTCTCCCAACCCCTGAATCAATAATACCATATCCTAATAATCCTTTGTTCATACTATTCTTCTCCTATTAATACAAATATTTATAATAAACTGGATGACTTTTTCATATGATTCTTTTTGTTAGCTACTTACACTGTGCAATCTGTTTTTTTTTAAATTAATAATAAACGGATGTTTTGGAATATCTCGCAAATGAATTCTATCTTTTGGATTCTTTTTCAATAATTTGTCTATTAGATCTTTGGCATTATCTGATAAATAAGCTGGCATGACATAATCAGCCATCACCACGCGTGTTAAAGTGCTTTTAACAGCATCGGTATCAAATGGAGGTTTGCCAACTAAGAGAGTATATAGCATGCATCCTAAACTCCATACATCTGCTTCCAAACCATGTGATGATCTTGTTGCTATCTATAGTAATATATAAAATTAGTGTTACAAGTTAATTATTCTATATTTCTTGCATATATTTATAATTTATTTAATAGACCTCAGGTGATATGTAATTGGGAGTACCACACATAGTTAAATGTTTTTCATCAGGCCTTGTTAATTGGGTAGCTAGACCAAAATCTGCTATTTTCTATAAATTAAAATCAAACGGCTTTTAGTTACATTCAGTTTAATTACCAAATTCAAAAATTATATAATTTTATCAAATAATTTTCCTTACCACTTGCATGTCCTTAGTCAAAAGCAAATTAGACAAAGACATATCTCTGTGAAGTATCTGATGCGAGTGTAAATACAATAATCCATGTACTACTTGTTTAATTATGTCACCAGCTTGTTCTTCAGACAGTGCACGAGAGCCTTGCATTTTAAGATAACGTTGAAGTTCTCCATTGTGACATAATTCCAATACCAAGTAAACATAGTTAGCATCTTGAAAGCATGTATACAATTCAAGTATGGCTGGATTCTTCAGTTTTGAGTGAATTGCGATTTCTTGACTTACTCTACCCACCATCCCAGCAGCTTGCATCAATTTTATATCGATCTAAAATTGTTTACAAAATATAGATCCATGTGTTTATAAATATTTAACCTAAATCATCGTTAAAAATTACCATTTTTATTGCAACTTCCATACCGCTGCGAAGACATTTTGCTCGATATACACTAGCAAAACCTCCTTTTCCGAGTAAATTTAATACTTCGTAATCCTACGATTAGAAGTCATTAATTGAACGTTACAACGACGCTTGCAAGCGGATAAATTCAAAAAACTAACCTCTATGTGTTCACCAAATACTCCAGGTAACAAAGGCATTACCAGCTTCCGAGTCATAAAACCATATAATTGTTTCAATCACTACTTTATAGTTTTCTTTTACATATAGTTTCTTCGAAATTAGATGTATTTGAGAAATATATCAATAAATTTGTAAATAGAGATGACATGTCGCATTCGCCATATATAAATTTTAATATGTCTTTGTATTCAGCAGATGGCGTTTTAATCCTAATTATTATTCAAAACAGAATACATATTTATCTAATGATTATCTATAGAAATCAATTGCAATTCGATAACAATGTTTAAATGGGTCTCATCAAAAAAATTGTTTTAAAGTTATATCTTGAGTCGTTTTCAATGAATCAATTTATCCTCTATGCTATCAAGATATGCAACTAATACATGTTCCACATATGTTTATTACAAATATATAATTTTCATATGTGCATTTCGATATTCAAATTGTATAAAATATGATATATAAAATATGATATATAAAATATATATTTGTGAGAAATAAACAATTATTCAGACGAATGTTTTCAATCTATTAAATAGACTTTGTAAATTTTTATCTATATATGTTGTAGGTAAAATAAAATATTGGAGGGCAGCAGAGGATCCAATTTGTAAGATGTAATCATAAAAGTTCATAAATTAATCCATTTAATTAGTTTCTTGACAAATGAATATTTATTTGAATAAGGATAATAGAATAAGAATAATCACGAATAAGGATAGAGGTTAGTTTCACCATTCCATCGCTACGTGGCGCTAGCATTTCAATGTCCATGAATCAAACAAATGTTGATTTGTCAAAAAAGCTAATTAAATGAATTAATTTATGAACTTTCATAATGGCATCGTGCAAATTAGATTTTCTGCATTTTTCCAATATTCCATTTGTCCCATAAGTTGCATGGATAAAGATTTACAAATTCTACTTAATAGATCGAAACAATACTTCCAATAATTATTTATTTCTCGCAAATTATGAATCAGAATTATTTCAGATTTAAAATACTTGACTTAAGAATTAATTAATTCTAACTGAACTTTATTTAGTGTTTCTTAATAATATACAAAAAGATTTATAACAGTTTTGTAATGATAATTTAATTTAATAAACTATGATATAACAAACTAAATAAGAATGGAATAAGTGCGAGCCGAAAAAAAATTTGTTTTAAAAGAGTTATAAAATAAAGAGCTATTTATAATTTTTGAGTATTAAGACGTTAAGTGACGTTAATTAAATATATGTAGGTTAATAATAAAAATACTCAATTTGTTGTGAATTTAAACGTTTTCAATTTCCGTTAACTATAATTCGTTCTAAATAACTGTAATTACAAATTAATTACAAATAATATACAGCATAATTTTTACATTATGCGTTTGAATTGTATTGTTTTTGCGAAATTGGACGAAATATCGAAATGCTGCACAATCTTTTGATATTAGCATATGATAATATTTATATTATTCTACAATATAAATATTTTGATGTTTAGTTCTTATAATAAATACCTTATATTTAATTATTAGTTTCACTTTCACTGTGTAAGGAAATAATTCATACTATAATTGTACACTTATTACATTCATTTATGAATTATTTGTGGCACAGGATTTGTTCACATCGCGTTTCAGTTGATTGACCTGTGATATAAATTACCACACATAACAAGTATGGAATATTCGTTTCACGAGGTCTTTAAAAATAACACAATTACAATTAATAATTCAGCGATGTTCAGTACTTTTACTAAAAAAAAAAAAAAAAATAGAATGACAATACTACATTAAAGTAAGGAATTATTTTGAGTATTTGTAGGCATAGAATTCTGACAACGTTGCGCCGGTGGTTGATAAATGGGCTGTGTGCTTCTTTGCTGATTACGTTTCTTGTTATAAGCAGTTTTATTTGCAGGAACGACGCCACTTCCACCTCTTCGAAATTCCATACCTGCTACAGACACTTTTCTATACTTCTATGTACATTAAATATAAATAGTCAACGTAAAAGAATTTACCAGTTATGTGATTTTGAGTTTGGTCATATCGCAGCTGCCTATTATTAAATCGTTGATCTGATTGTTTTTGATCCATAACATAATCTGGAACTACTTGATTCTGTAATTAAATTTAAAATATTTATTACTTGTGTATGATATTAGGAACACATGTACATATGTTTTACGTACATCATCTGTTATAGGTAAGCAATCCACTTGAAGCACTTCTTCGTAATTTTCAAATCCTTTGAATTGAACAACACAAGTTCTGTCTGATACTCCAGTTACTTTCGCGTTATAATACTATATTTTAAAAATATTGAATGAAAATCAAATGTCAATACTATTGATAATATAACGTTTTAATGTATGAACAATTATCTTACCCTATTATCTTCCCAGTATTTGGCTAAGCATTTATCACCTACACGCCATACCCAAGTACTACCAGCAGAAGGAATATTGGTATTTTGATTGTTATTATAGTGGCTTTGATTCCTTTGGCTGTTGGGTTCTACAGTCCCCTTGCTACCAGAATTCTCATTTGGTTGAAATCTGTTCAGTTGGTTTTTGTAATTTTTATCAGTTGTATTTGCAGGATAAGCTCTATATGTTCCATCTTCTTGTGCTCGATTATGCCTACCGTAAGAAGCATCATAACTTTGTCTATTCCTGGCATCGGTCTCATAGTGATTATTACTCCTGCCAGCACCAAAATGTTTTCCTTGTTGATCTTGCGAAGCTTTGTAATAATTATTACTATTCATAATGTTAGCTCCATCTGTACGAATTTGTATATTGGAATTTCGAGAATCATTTACTTGAGATTTCTGGTACGTTTTATGTAAATTATCTTGCTGAGAATAATTATAATTATCCTGATTTCGTTGAAATCTCGGTGGTCTATTTTGTTGAGAATGATTTCCGCCGTTATATTGTAAATATTGAGTACTAGAATTATTGAAGTTTGATTTTTTGCTACCCTTACTTTCCTCTAAATGTCTTGGAGGAATTTGATATCCACGACCTCCTTTTTGAGATCTATATAAAAAAGACTTTTATTAACAAATGTTTTTGTAATTCATACATTCGTAAAAATTTTACTCGTAACGAGGTATACCTTCCACTTTTTCCACTTTGTAATTCGTTGCTTTTAAATTCCATTTTATCAAAATTATTTTCTGTATTTTGGGTATAACTATTCTGAGGTGGATTGCTCGGTTCCGTAGATTCAGATTGTAAAGGCAATTTATCTTCAAGAAAATCAAAAAGAGATATTTTTCCACTACTTGGTTTACCTTCTTCGACTTTTTTATCAAATCGTTTATTTCGTGGTTCACGTGATTCTCGTGGTTCTTTAAACGTACTAGAATAATTGAAACAGAATCGATAGTCAAAAAGTAGTAAAAAATAATACATTAAAATAACAGAAAATGGATATACTTGTGCTTGCTGTCTGTTTTTTGTAAGCTTTTTAAGGCTTTATCAACATTATTTCGATTAACTTTTAAGGCATATTCTGCTTGTTCTATAGAAAAGCCTTGATCTACAATTCTTTGTACACTGTGATCTAGAAGCTATAAAATAAATATATAAGAACAAAGTTATTTTAAATATGCATATTACAGATATTTCATAGAACGTACCTGCTTATTTCCTCCACCAAAAATTTTCTTACTGCCTTGTTTAGCAGCTTCTGCTATAGCATCCTTCCGCTGAGCTTCAAATTCTGCATTCTCTTTACTAGATTTTTCTTTCTCTGCTAAAGCTTTAAAGTTTTTGTCATGTTCAGAAACTTTTATAATCTTTTTTCCAAATGGTATCCACGGTGGTGGGCCACCTTCTTCAGCAGATCTCATTCTTGTATGCAGTGCCAATTTCTATTACAAAATACATTTCTTAGTTTCATATATAATCATAAAATAAGAATATAACATTGAATCATATAACATACTTTATTCAATTCCCATTTCTCTACAAGATTTGTTACTTTTCCTCCAAGAACTTGTGCTATGTTTGATGGTTTTAACAAAATAATTCCATGAGACATTGGAACATTTCCACAACTAATTAGCATTTTCGTACCAGGAGGTGTATTTAAACTATGTAATGATTAAATTCAGTTCTTTAAATGAATTATAAAAATATTTATTAACGAAATAATTAATCAAGCATTAACTTTTTACCTTAAAAATGAAATGTGTTCAACTTCTATAGCTTGAAAATTATTTTTACCATCAGTCAAGAAGAATTTTAATAAACGCGGAGCTGCTCGAGATTCTTCATTGTTTTTAGGAGCAGCTACATTACGTATTTTTTGTATTTGTAATACAATATTACCCTGAACTATATCTCCTTGGCCATTGCCAATTTCTCTCAAATCAAGCTATGCAATACATTAAAAAAAAATTAAAACATATAAATAATCATTTTTCTCTTGAAAGTTATATAAGAAGTCGTTCTTACATCCAACAATCGCTTGATAATTTTTTGTATGTCACTGACATTTCCAGAATCACTTGCAGTACTGTATCCATGATCTGTAATATACCTGATGCAAACATTGATAAATATTTATACGTCCAAATTTATAAAAAGTTATTTGCGTTTAGCGATGTTCACAAATGACAAAAATATATCATGTTATATACATACCACCCCTTATCTTTCAATTTTTCCATAGTATGCACTGTCATTTTGTTCTGAAGCCAGGTTTTTCAATGGAACGATTTGATTTTGGTTCGGTGACTTTCTCAAGTGAAATTTCATGCACGTTACATGCGTACATTCGACTTGTACATAAACATGTGTCAGCTGACGTTTAAACCAATAAAAAACAAATCGTCAAAGTATCAATAATTGCAATATCGAAATGAGTTACTTTTACGAATATATGGAACCGTTTATTATACGTTATAAAGCCACTTTGCTTGTCCAAATAACGAACAAAAGGAACCGCGCCTATTAAACCTCGAATTCTTTGCCACCATCTTGAACATTTGGTACATTTTAAGATCGATATATATTGGTTGCAGTAGTTTAATATCGATACATCGTATTCGTTATTTGAACGTGATACTACATGTCATGTGTAGATTATAAACGAATGTAATGTTAATTTTCATTAAAAAAAAAAGTTTTTTTTTAATGACATTATCTTTATAATGATTTTAAATCTTGTCTACTTGTAATAGAATTATGTAATATGATAGCTATAATAGTTATAAAGTAATTATGTTTAAATAAAGATAAAGTGAAACTGTAATGAATACAGATTTTAGAAGAAATTGCGCAAAAGAGCACAAGTAGATAAGTGGATTAATTGAATGTAACGCATCGTTATTTGAAAACGATGCTTGAATACACTTATACGCGGGAAAAATGTACATTAAATTCTGAAAGCGAATATTACTGATGCAGAACAACAATATTTTTCGAATAGAATTTGCTAGAAACAGGACGAATAAAATATTAAAAGTCTTTAAAAGATTATTATAAAATAAAACGATTCAATGTTACTACTAACCTCTAAATAACTCGACAAGTTATTTTTAACCTATAATATTATTATATTATTACCCTATAATATATTATTATATTATTACCTAATAAAAAAAAATTATATTATTACCTAATAATATTATTATATTATTAACCTATAATATTATTTAACCTATAAATTTATAATTTATTTGTTACAAACATTTCATAATTTAAGATAATAATACATAGAGGAAAACTATAAATTTCGTATAAGATCATGCGAAACGTCTAACAAAATTAATAAATCAATTACAATTGATGAATTTTGCAGGGGTCGCTACCATCAACAGACCCCGTGGTGGCGAAGAATAAGAAAGACATCAACTGCTGATCGGTCCAATTTGAGCTGATGATTATTACTCGGGTGGAGCCTCGTTTGAACAAACGATGAAATTAGATCAGACAGGAACTAACTTTGGAGATGACGGAACGGTATAGGTACGATTAAGAATACGACTCACCCATGCACTAACAATTTTATAAAGACTGAAAGAATTGAAACAATTATCATACCCTTAAGAACTGCTGCCAATGCGAATAAAAATAAACTTGTTTCATCCTCGTTGATCTTTATCGAAATATATTATAATGTTTCTCGAAACACGCGTGGATTTATTAAG